TAGTATTTTTTCCTAGTATGCACAAACCAATGAACTTCTAATTAATGGAGGAGCTTCTGTGAACTCATGTCAAAATATTCGTTTCGTAACACACACATCGTAAAAATAATGTTACAATTAAAAGAAATTTTAGAGTGTATTCCAGAGAATGACCAATTAATCCGAACAAATTGCTTTTATGAGCACTTTTTCTATTTCCTGTTCTTTCAGAGCAATATCTCACAACTGGATGTACATAAGTAAACATTCTCTCTCTTATCTCTTACTCTAAATATTACAGCCGGAAAATTTATTGAAATATGCCCATTAAAATTAAACGAGCTAGAAAATAAGAATTTTATCGAAAATTGCTTTTTTTAGAATTGGTTTCAAATTATCGGTTATCGATTTAAGGCTATAAGTCATTGACTCAAATTTGTAAATTATAGATTTAAGAGCATAAGTTATCGATTATTGATTTTAAATTCTCGATTAACGATAATAAATTTGATAAATAAATAGGACGGCTCTTAATCTCATTTCTTTATGTCAAATTAGAGGCTTGATAGCTGATTAGAATTATTAATAATTAATGTTACATTTCATTTGTAAAAAATCGGTTTATAAGTATCGGCCACCGATTAAAATTACAAGTTATCGATGTAGATTTATCGGTTATCGTATTAAAATTATCGATTAAAGATTTAGAATTTAATAAAAGAATAGGAATGCTCTTTTTTATTTGCAGGCAAGTAACATGATAAGTGTTCTCTTGGGCGGTCAAATTCAATTGAGCAATCAAATGGTATAGAGGAAAAAGAGTCCCTAATGACCTAAAAGATTATATACATTATATATACTATGTATATTTCCATTAATATCAAAATATATATATGTCACATAGAAAATTTTAAAGTTAAATAAAGCAAGCAAAGTATTCAATAAAATCAAATTTAATCCAAGCTAATAATTCAGCAAAACCGATTCAATCCATAAACTCTCTACTTTTAAGAACCAACTTAATATACACACATACTAAAAATAAATAAATATTTTTCTATTAAAAATTTATAAAAGCTCTTCACACGCTACAAATTTTTGTATGTAATTAACAATTTAATGTTAACATTTTCCGACGCATAAATACAATTTATTTCCAAATAATCAAATATTTTTTCCCCACGTGCCTCAAAGCTGAATGTCCAAATTCTATATCTTCCATTCAATCATTGGTTAGCGTTAAAATGCACGGCATTTGTTATCTTTCGGTTTTTATTATTCATTTGCTAATATGCATATTTCGCTTTTTATTAAGCTTTGGGTTAACAATTTTAGTGCGTGAATTTTTTATAAGAATTTAACAACAGATCATAAAAAGGTTTATAAAATGTACATTAGTGAAAGCGAAGCAAAAACAATGTTGTTGTTCAATTCTTGATTGGAGTGTGAAAAATGTGCAAATTAATTTATTTGTCATTGTACACATCATTTATTATGGAGCAAGAAATTAACGAAATAAAATCACTCATACGCTCGTGTGGAAGATAGATATTAATATGCATGGGCTTCGATTTAGCTGGTTTACTGCACTTTGAGAGTAAATTTTTTTGTATAATAAGAGGGGTGACATTGTAAATAAATATAATAATATTATTTGGTTTTATTTGGCTTGCCACACAAAAATAACACGAAAAAACGTTAACTTCGATTGAGCCGAAGTTAAAATACTTTTCACAGTTTCATTTCTTGCATTAAAAAGTATAAACAGATATTTTGCTTGATATTAGTCGGTCAGTTTGTATGGCAGCTATATGGTATAGTCGTCCGATTTGTTCAGAGATTGTAGCGTTGTTTTAGACAATATATAATGAAAAAAAGAAAAAAGTTTTCCAAAAAAGATTTTAATTTTGATTGATCTGTTTGTATGGCGGCTACCTATATGCTGTAGTGAGCCGAAATCGGAGATACTGACAAGAAGTTAACAGCTTTGAGAGGAGAAAAGAGCGTGTGCAAAATTTCAGATCGATATATTAAAAACTGAAGGACTAGTTTACGTATATACAGACAGAGTAACAGGTATACAAATAAATATAGTGACTTACTGTTTTTTAAAAATATATACCTGCACAAAAACTCAGTTACGCATACAATTAAGCACTGCTTTTTATATCCTCCTCAAACATTTATTCTCACATTTCGCTATTCACTCATTTTTCTTTTCGCCTTAAACATCATCGCCTTAATTACTATATAATTACAAGAGTTTGCCGTAATCTACATTCCACTCAAGCATTTCGAATTGCTCAATTACACCTGTGTTATATTACTCTCTTGTTCTTGTTGTTGTTCTCATGTCATACAAACTGCTGACATACTAAATTATTAAGTTATGAAATTTTACACTTCATTTAGCGACGGCTGACCTCAACACTTGTGTGTTGAGTCTCTGCTAGTGGCATGATTTGTGACCGACAGCTAAATACTTTTGTCTCGAGGGAGCTTTCAAATTTACTTTGTACGTAATTATTTTGTTATTCCACGAAAATATTTTAAAATTGAATCAGTTCGGTGAAATCAACAAAGTTGAACATTTCACTTGAAATAACAAATTTATAATTTTATACGACATTTATTATTAAAAATCTATATTTAAAATGTGTGAGGTTTTAATGGATGCAACAAATACCTTTTCATCGCTAAATACACTCACTCTGACAAAGAAGGCTTTAACTTAGAAGACAAAAAGAGCTATAAAATGAGAAGCTAAAGTAAATTGAATCAGTAAATTTAGTGGAAAAGTTGAAAAGCCGTTGAGATACTTATGTTCTGTGAGAAATTTCTGAAAATTTTAAACTGTGAACGATTTCAACATTTGGACATTAATCTTTCACATTTTTGATGCGGTCTGACAAACCAATTCATTATACTCTTGCAACATATTGCAACAGAATATAATAGTTTTGTTCACCTAACGGTTGTTTGTATGACATAAAAATAATCGAGTTAGATATAGGCTTATATATAAATATATAAATAATCAGAATGACGAGACGAGTTGAAATCCGGACATCTGACTGTCCGTCCGTCTGTCTGTACAAGCTGTAACTTGAGTAAGAATTGAGAAATCGTAATGAAACTTGGTACACGAAATGAAATCTATAAAAGTGTCATTACTAAGCACTAAATTAAGATATAAAACTATAATTTGGCACCGAGTATCATTCAATCTAAACTAATAGACCTCACGTAAATATATCCTATACCACTTAAGCTATAAGCCCTATAACCACAATAACCAAATTCGTTCAAAACAAATCCCTTAAAAACTAATGGAATCGAATGATCACTCACAATGGACTGGCATTTATTACTACTTTCCATATAGCACAGTTTTAAATTCCATCTGATTTTTTCACTTTCCAGTGATTGATTGACTGAATGGATAATATTGGTTACACTATAGTTTAGTACTACATAAATGATTCTCGTTCTTAGGCTATGATCCTGGCAAGTTGCAAGAGTATGAAATTTTCGATTACACCCGAACTTAGCCCTTACTTACCATTTTATTAAATATGATCATTATTATAAAAAATTGGTCATGTTGTCATATCTGTCATATTGCTAATTAACGGTAGTTTGATTTTACACTAACAAAAAATTCCGTTCGCAGTAATTTTATTTTTATCTCAAAGTGTGTAGATATTGATTCAACAAAACCTTTTGCTCTACCTTTTTTGAATTTTTTTTTTGAGTGGTAATTGACTTAAAAAATATTTCAAAATCAAGTCCGACGGGCAAAAACACTGAAGAAATCAAAATATTTTGAAGTAATTTGCGCGAAGACCTTCTCGTCGCTTATTAGTATTCAACAATTATCTTATTTGATGTAAAATTTTCAAAATCGTTAATTCAATATGGCGAGCAGCAAAAAAAAAAACAATTTAACAACGAGTTTGCTTGATATTTTGTGTTTCCAATAGAGTCACAGCTACGGAATCGTTGAAAGTGTGGCAGAGGAGTTTAATAGAGTAATATATATAGTTTATAATGGTCGCGTTGGCACCAGAAAGATAGCAGAGGAATTTAACATCGCTCATGGATCGACTCAATACATTTGTTTAATATTTTGGATATAAAATTTGTCAATGCCAAAACTGAAACTCTGACGAGATCTGGTAACAAGAGGTGGCTTTATGAATATGACATAGAAACTGTTCAAAAATCAAGTGAATGGCGCTCCAAAAATGAGCCGAAACTGAAAAAAAAGTGGCCTTCGCTGAAGGCACTGAAGACCATACCAGCCAAAGATTATACGTATAACAAATGTACGGAAATTCTGTTTATGCGTTGGCATACTTATATTGGCTCAGGAGTCTCTTTTGAAGACGATTTTAAAGATTTGTATTAAAATAACTGAAAACGTAAATTGTTTCTTTTAGATGGTATATATAGTATAAATAAGACTAATTTCTGAAAAGTGTAGTAATTAGTAATAAATCAGTATAAAAATAAATTTTGATTACGATTATCACTACACTACAATCATTACAAAAAAAAGTAAAAACCAGATTTTCCTACTTTTATATATCATATGTACGTAGAATGAGTGTTCAATCCCAATTCCAAAATCTGACTTCCTTTTTGCACACAATGTAATATAAATCCTTCTTATTAAAATATTTTACATTTTCGCTGTCGGGCCCTTGACTTAAATACCTAACTGCGAATTACATGTAATGATTACATGAGTACAAGTTTCCTGTTAACACAAACAAGTCACGGACATGAGTGCAAATGTGCAAGTGAACAGAGCAAAATATAAATAGCAACAATTCAGAGAAAAGATATTAATGTGATTTAAATATTAACGGCAACAAACTCATATGTGCATATGTAAGTAGCTGCGGATGAATGTGAAGAGCACTCGTTTTGTGCACGAGCAGCCGCGCGAATCGAGAGGAATACAAGCAGATAAGAAAGATTTAACTGCAAACTTTTATATAAAGTGGCACACTTACCTTTTCACGAGCGTAAGCGTTGAAGGAAGCTGGACCCACAAGCGCCCCGACGACAAACTGTCAGACAACAAATCTAACACAGCAACTAAGATCAGCTTGTATGACGGCTTATTTTATTATTATGTAATATTACTTTCTTGCCTGCGTTGCTTCTTTATGTTTTTTATTTGCGTTTTATTTGTTTTTTTTTTTTTGATTATCTTTATGTCTTTGCTTTGATTTTGTTGCGCCGCGCTTTGGGCTGCTTGCTGCAGTAGTGGCACGTGTCAGCAAAAATTTTGTTGTTGTTGTTGCTTCGTCGTTTTCATTTATAGTATTTGTTGTTGTCTTTTTAGTTGATTGTAATTCTTTTGGCTGCTATTTCCGGCAGCTGATAACGAAATGCGCGCTTTTTTTCGCGCTTAACACTCGGTTTTTCTCATTTTCTTCTCCACTTTTCCACACATTTTCTTTGCGGATAAGCTTTTCCGCGCATGAAATCCTACTCTTTATATAATATCTCGCTTTTGTGAAGCAAAGTTTGCCGCTTTTTATAATTTATCTTTTTTTTGTTTTTTTTCTTTTGTTTGTTCTATGCTTTGTCGCAAATACGCCACGTCTAAGCGCTACAACAACAAAGCACATCAATCACATTAGCGCCAAACGAGACTTGGACGTCGCCTTTGTCACGCTTAGTCAGTTACAGTACATATGTATTATGGGCTGATGTTTGCTTGTTGCTTTATCACTCGCTGTAAATATGTTTCATTGCTTGTCATATGTGTATTTTTTGTTATTGTTGGAAACTTTTCACATAAATTCTATAACGGCTGAATTGTTAAAAGCAAATATTAATATTTAGTATTCACTCCAAACCTCACAAGCAGAACTAAACGCATCCATACATATTCATTCTTGTCTGCGCCTTAAACTATGCAAATGCAAGCGAAAAATGTAAGTTTTCGCTTGATTGCCGTTAGTGCTATGCCTTGTCTGCATATTTTTATGTTTCTGTATGCACAAACATGCATATAGTAAATACATATATACATGTGTATACGTGTGTGTGTGTTTGTGCTGCTGTAAACATGTCACCAGCACTTTGAAGCAAGCATCAACAGCCGCCACCGCCGCCGGCAACAAATTTACAAATATTTCGGTTTCACTTTTTCTCAACCACCACAACACAGCGCGCATATGAATGTATTATTTATTTAATTTCTTTTGTGCATATGATTTTATGCGCGCTTTTGATATTATTTTCCGTCTCTGCTTTTGTCCGCCCAAAAAATTTATTAAATTTCACTTTCAATTGGCAACTGTCATCCGGCATTTACAGCATTTATTGTCGCCTGCCAGCACTTGCTGCTTGCTCTCAGTACATAAAAATCAAATGTACGCAAAAAAATGTTTTTTGCATATAAACAAGCATAATTGTTTGCTTGCTTGTGCAATACCCCAGCGTTTACCCAATTTCACTTAAACAAATTGCGAACATAAATTTGCGCAGAATTTTCCGTCATTGTCACATTTATGTGTTTTATGTTGCGTTTAGTGTAAATTGCAATTTAATGTGTTTTGATGCCGCTTTTGTGGGCGAAACAATAAAATTTAATAATATTTAGCCTGTCACAATGTGTGCTGGGAAGAAGAATAAAAGAACGTGATTAAGATTTATTATGCTCATGTGAAAATATCCTGGGAAATGTTTGCTTAGGGGCTATAACGGTTTTGTTTTCCAAAAATTTCTACGCTAAAAATTAACTCTTCATAGGACCAACTGGGCGTATACGCAACATTTCATAACACATGGAAACAGACCAAAAAACAAAACGTCACCTTCAGCTGCACCCAAACTACAATACCCTTCACTGGTATATTTCTTAAAGCATAAAAGGGTATTAAAAGATCTTTAACTTGATTTTGCTCGGTCAGTTTTTATGGCAGATACATGCTATAGATATATATAGAGGCCCGCTATAAACAATATATTCGATGAATTTAGCGGTGCCTTGGGCAATAATCTATGCCAAAAATCGAGCAGACATATTGATAGCAGATTGATTGCGAGCGTTCAGTTTGTATGACAGCTATATATTGTGACCAGAAAGGAAAATTGTAAATAAAACAAAAAATGCCTAATCTTCAACAATATTTATTTTGTCGCCTTCAAAATATGTTCCTTCTCAAGCGATACACATATGCCACCTCCTTTTCCAATCATCGAAACATGCACTGTAGGTGCTGTCCGGGATCGTCTTCAGTTCCTTCTGCGAATTTTCAATTACGCCCTCAATCAAGTCGAAACTGGTTCCACGGAGTGGTAACTTGAATTTTGGAAACAAGAAAAGTCGATGAGGTGGTTGATCAATAATATTGAAAGAATTTACTATTTTTTAGTACCACTGACTCTCAACGTATCTTATTTACTAAAAATAAGTTTGTTTGATATATATAATATGTATATAATATAAGCATGGAATGGTCAATATTTGAGTTTTGAATTATTTCATCAGCTATAGTAGTATGTTTCCTTACCTATTAGCCTTTTTACAATGTTTAACGACAGAAACTATTTTCGAAACTTCATATTTTCAAGTTAAGTTTGATATGATCTAACACATTTTTAGGTGCGAATCTCGAAAAGTATGCAACAAACTCTTCGATGATACTTGCTATAACTATTATAAACAATTTTTAACATAGCTCGAAACATGGCTTCTTAATAAACGCAAAATTTTCTTTCATTCCCACCAGCATTAAAATATTTTAGTCGTTAGGAAATATTTTCAGAAATATTCACCAAATTATTATATCATAGTTTATACCAGTTAAGGTTCTCACTGATCAAGGATCAGAGTCATGAAAGTTACAAAATATCAATATTTATCAAAAAGTATTTCAAAGAACTTGCTCTTGGTCAACTGGTACTCCTACAATTGCCAGAAGAAGTAACAAAGTTCTCGGAGAACTATATGTATTAGGGGAGTGCTAAGCAAAGCTCTCTTGGCGTGGAGGTAGTACTAGGAAGAATGAAAAGCAAGCAACGCAAAACTCACTTTTAATTAATTTTAAGTCGACGAGTTATTCCAGACTTGTTTATATTTCATTATTTACATATTTACAATACTTCTCGTTACTAAGCAAAGTTTTCAAAGAGCCACAGATTTAACTGATTCTGAAAACTGTGCTATTTACATATTTCAAATCACTTTACTTGCACTTTGGCAACAACTTCCGGTTCAATTGTTGCTTTCAACAACTTTCAAAAGCTTCGAGTCATTTTTTGGTGTATTTTATTTCGGTTTTTGCAATCTAAGCGGGATTAACCTTAGATAGAAGTATTGAGTTCGAAATAGTAATCAAGTTAAAAGCTTACATTTAATTACCATCTTTCCTGCTTTTTATATGCATGTCTATTTACAGTAAGTACAGATAATATTAATAACGGTTCAATATATTCGCACTAAAAGAAAATTCAATGCTTTTAGCTAAATTACATCAATATTTAAGACGCTGCATATTATATAATAGAGCGTAATTGAGTTTCTTTTAGTTTTAGTGAAGTTTTATGTCCCATTATATATAGTTTTGTCTTCGGGATATTAAATCTCAAATCTACAGATAACGAGTTTTGAAAGCATAGCCCATAAATTATAGTGTAAATATATCTTCGAATATTTGAGCTGAAATTTGAAATTATTTATAGCAAATATTAAATAATTTTTGATTTTTATGACTTGATTTTTTTTTACATAACCCCAAAAATCACCATTTTACATTATTTTACGAATTCCACATACTTATATTGTAAAAGCAAAAATTTTTTTTTGTACTTTAAGTATTATTAAGCTTGCCACAAAGTTTGTAGCAGCCAAAAGAAAACGTCGGAGATGTCTAAAATATATAATATATATAAATGATCAGCATGACGAGCTGAGTCGATTTAGCCATGTGCGTCTGTCTGTATATACGCTAACAAGTCCTTCCGTTTTTTGAGATATCGATCTGAAAATTTGCACATGTCCTTTTCTTACCAAGAAGCATCCGCCCATATCAGACTACTATAGATTATAACTGCCATATAAACTGATCCATTAATATCAAGTCCTTTTATGGAAAATTTTGTAATTGACAAAATATCTTTACGAAATTTGGCACAAATTGTTATGTAAGACATATACAAGATATATATCATGTACATAGCTGACTAATCAAAATCAGCATTAAGAACTTTTTATACCCTTGTATGCGGTGCAACAGCAGTTAAAGTTACTCTGTATTTTTATATAAATATTTATATTTTTTTTATTTACATAAAATATGTTTGATTTATTTTATTTTATATATTAATTTGTTTTACGTTTCACTCTTTTTTATTTATTTTTTAATTACACCAAACTTCAACTGTGGCAATTAACATATTTTGTTTAATTTATTTTCTGTTATATAATTTTTTACAATTATTTTATTTTGTTTTATATATTATTATTATTATTTGATTATTTTTTATATAATTTGATTAAATTTTTTTATTTTATTTTAATTTATTTTTTGTTAGTTATTTAAATTTTATATACTTTTTAATTTTTTTTTTATAAATTATTATTCTTTTTTATATGATTTTTTATTTATTTTAAATAAATTTTTTTATTTTAATTTATTTCATTTTTGTATTAATTTAACTTTTTTCCCCAAAAATTGTCAGCACTTTTAACTTTTTCCACAATAGTTTAATTTCGGCATCTATTTCTTATTTAAACCAAAAACATCTCGCTGCGCTTTGTATTTCTCCATTGGATATAAACTTTTTAATTAATTATGTCAACTTTCAGCTGCCCTAACAAAGCTTTGCTTACACCAGACTATTCACTGTCGAAAATTGTCACATCTCTGTTTGGGACAGTCACGAAATTTTCACCATTCTATTGCGTAGAATTTCTGTTCCAAAACACCCCAAAGACACAGGCAACAGCGAGAGCAGGTGGGCAGTGGTAACTCAGCTGTTGCTGCTTCTTGCAAGGCCAAGGTAGCACAAAACAACAACACACACACACACTCGCACGTGAGAATTTGATTTTCTCTATTTTCAATCACTAAAAACAACAACAGCAACGCAAACTATGTAAATAGCAAAAGGATCCGCTGTTGTAATGGGTTTGCGCGCCTTAGCCCTGCATCTGTCTTGGAAATTCGTGGGGTTGCAAGCATTCAGTCACGTAGCAGTGGCAGCAACACCAACAGCAATCAAACGCACTTTCCGCCATGTACCGTATGTTGTTGTGGAATTAATTTATTTTTGATGTTGTTCTGTTTTCTTACTTTCTTTATTTCTTTTTTTTTTTTATGTAGCTGTCGATGGCACGTCAGACGCAGATATTAAATTTTTTGGCTTTCAATTGGTAAGGGCAGCAACAACACATAGCCTTTGGCTAATTTTGATGAAATTCACTTATTTCACTTTCTCTGCGCACTTTCACTGGTGCTCCTTAGACTTTTCACTTTCATAAAATATTTGATTTTCGATTAAGAATTCTATCAACAAATTTTGATCGCTTTCTGCACCGCAATATTTTAAATTACTTTGACATACTAACATATGTATGTGTGAATGTATGCAAGCACACACATACGCATGTAGACAAAAACCTATATATATGTGTGCTTAAGAACGTTATCGAGGAAAGTGCGCGCCTCCCAGCTGGGTTGCACTGCGCTTTCTGTGAGTGTATGCGTGCGTGTGTACACTTCCGGCTGCGTTTGACTTTGAACCGCTTTGTGATTTCATCCGTTAATCACGTCCGTTCTTGTAAGCAACACATCTGCTACTATTGCACAGCGCACGAAATGGCAACTTGTGGCTGCCGATGCCGAAAACGGGACCGATGTGGATGCTGCCAACGCTTTGAACAACCACTCTGACTCCGGCGCTGCTGTTGCTTCTAACTACTGACAATACTGTTGCTGTTATAGTTGTAGCGTCATTGTTCGTATATGTGTGCAACAACAATAGCAGCAATCAGCTGTTGTGATGCTGCGTCGCCGCGCCAGTGAAGTCTCCAATAATAAACAGAAGAAAGCTCTTGAGAGGAGAGTGCGAACATAGAGTGAAAGTGAGACCAAGTGAGAGCGCAAATGCTGTGCAGCACTGATACCTCTTATCAGT